GAGCCGCCGCCCCGGCCGGCTCATCCCTGCGGCGGCTGCCTGGGCGGCGCGGCGCGCGGCCGTTCGCCATGTACACCTTCGTGGTGCGCGACGAGAACAGCAGCGTCTACGCGCAGGTCTCCCGGCTGCTGCTCGCCACCGGCCACTGGAAGAGGCTGAGGCGAGACAACCCCCGGTTCAACCTGATGCTGGGAGAGAGGAACCGGCTGCCCTTCGGGAGACTGGGTGAGCCCCTCCCCATTTCCCGCCCTTCCGCGGCCCGTTGGAACGAGCGCTTTTGTTTTAAGGTCACAAATCTTCCCCTCCAGCCCCTCGGCAGATAAAAAATGGATCCGTAAAGCTCTGCACCCATCGTTTGTAATGCTTTCTCGTGTCCTAAATCGCATTCGGGGCCGGAGTCGCGGTGCGGCCACTGGGGCCGCAGCTGCCTCCTGACAATGGCCCGTCCCTGCAGCCCGGGGGCATCAGCCGCCGGGGCGGGGAGCTGAGGCCGCGCGTTCCCCCCGCCCCCGGGCCCGACGCCCCCAAATCGGGCAGGTCCGCTGGGCCGAGCGCGGGGGGGGGCGGGGCGAGGCTCCGCAGAGCCGGTGGCTGACGTCTGGCTGGGGTCATCCTGCACATTTTCTACCCTGGGGATTCCGCCCCGCCTGGTGTTGGCGCGGGAGGGGTCCTTGTGTGTGTTGGAAACCTTGATTCAGCTACCCGAAGGCTCAGATAAACTGTCAGGGGATTTGGAAAAGACCTCTGGATTCCAAAAGCAGGAGCTTCAGAAGTGAGCCGAGTCTGCCCCGGGCAGAAGGTGCCTGATTTGAGACCTTTTCTTAGCTTCACCAAAGAACGTGTTTTCACTATTGCGCGATGAATGCAGATTTTACGTGACACTGGATTCACCCTCCATCCCTCCGTCTCTTTCCCCGAGGGAGTTGCCTTCATTCACATGGTTGCGGCTGGCTTGGCACCACCGTATCCACATACCCGCTGGTAGGAAGGGGCAGAGGAAAGGACAGGACCAGCCTTTTTAGATGACGTAATCTGGAAGTTGTGCAGGTCGTTTCAACTCACATCCCATTGACCTGAACATAGTCTTATGGCCTCTAACTGCACAGTCATCCGGGGAGTACAGCCTCTCTCTGGGTAGCCACATTCCCTGCCAAAATTCTCCTGGGGTGGGGACCAAATTGTATTGCCCAAGACAGAATAGGAGGATGAATAATGAGGAAAAGTCATCTTTGCCTTGGAAAGCAAACCAGGGAGAGCAGTGTTCTGTGTCCAGGAGAGGAGAAAGTTTTTAGAAAGAGGTGTGGTCAGAGGATGGAGAGGTTGAGTGGGCAAAGACTGAAACTAGGCCATTTGGAACTCCCTGGTTACTGGTGAGCTTACATAGTGTTGGGGTGGGGGACATGTACAGTTGTAATGGTTTGAGGAATGGTTTGTGGCATAGCCTCACAGAAATTTTTTTTTTGCAATGGTACCATAGACAACGTTTTCTTGTTATGCAAGTTTATGGTGCATGATGGGGACTCCATGGAAGGGCTGATTCCAACCCCCAGAAATTTTGGAATCTGGGGAATGTGCCTAGAGATTCCCTTTTGTTAAACTGTCTCCCCAGGAAGCTCTCGGCAAAGAGAATACCGTCCCTGAAAGGAGAAGAAAACTGCTTATAGTCAAGAGCATTTATTTCCTCCTTGCTCTGTCTGCTTCCCTGCCTGCCTGACTGACCTTCCTCTTTGGGCTGGACAGTGCCTGGCTGTAAAAGCTGAAGTGGAATCCTGATATTAAAAACAGACAAAAATGGCTCTTCCGGGGCTGGAGCAGGGGTGGTTTGCAGTGCTGTGGTGCTCAGGACTAGGGAGAAGGAGCAGACACCTAGAGGGTCCAAATCCTAAACAGTTACCATGAAGTCAGCGGATGGTCAGTGACCATTTGGTTTTTATGGGAAAGAAAACAGCATCCCACAACCAAAATGGTTATCTGCCTTCACTGTTAGGGATGTATAGCTTTCGCTTAAATGCACCATGTGAAACCCAAGGAGCTGGCTGATAGAGCCCGGTAAAGGCTCAGGATTGCTGGTGCCATGGGGATGAGAAAGTAGGCGGTTCAGGGGTGAGCCAAGTGTGTCTGTCCCAGGGAGACAGTGAGAGCCAGGTAGTACCTGAAACTTTTTGGTGGTATGCTATTCTCAGATGAATTATTCTTAACCTCTGGCATCTTCAACTCAAACTCCTTTTGTTTGGTTTTACTTTTATTTTTGTTGCTGGAAATTCAGTGCATTTTGTTAGGATTTTGAACAAAAATTGAGGTTTTTGTTTTTATTTGCATCCTTTCTGTTCTAATTTTATAGGGGAGGGGTCATGCAGTAAGATCTGGTGAACCTAACCACTGTGCAACCGGGCCGGCCCCTGTAAGATCTATTGAAAATGGGTTTCCCTGTGGTAGGATGCAGAGAAGCAAGTCTTCAGGCTTTCTGATTTTATAGACATGGCCTCTCCACTACCTTCCTTCATCTTCTAGTGGCTCTCCTAGAACCTTGCAGAGGTGGACATGCTTGAAAACAGCAGTGTCATAGTTCTGCCTTCCTTGATGGCTGTAAGAAGCAAGGTTAGGGGTGTCAAAAGCATGATTGTTGCAGACTGTTACTGTACAGAGGTTACTAATAAGTCCTTATGTGTTAAGCCGAGAGTGGGGTGGGGTGGGGATCAAGGAGGGGTGAAATCGAAATTACCCCTCCACCCTAAGAAGAAAAAACAAAGGCAGCAGTGGTCTTCTGCAGACCTATGATATTGATATTGTAATATCCACTATGGGGAGGGTGAGGGTTTCCAGTGGGATGCTGAGAAAGGGGGATACAGGTACAGGGCGACAGATTGTTCCGTTTCCAACAACCAGTCCTGAAATGAGAGAAAGAGAAGCTAGGCGTGACACAGCTGTTCTCTCTCCTGCATGCTGCTGCTGATGTTGTTGTTTGCCACCTGTCCCATTTCTCTTCTGAGCCTCCTCTTTCCCTCATAGGTCACGAGCCTGGGCTGATGCAGTTGGTGAATTACTACAGGGGGGCAGACAAACTGTGTCGCAAAGCTTCTTTAGTGAAGTAAGTGTTCTTTAAGACCTGTGTTTTCAATTTTTTACATAAATGTTTTTAGCTTTCATCCTGAAGCACTTAAGTGAAAATGTGGGATTATTTTTTAAAGGATAAATATTCTGTTATTTAAAAAGCCAACAAATATTAGTTCTGGAGCGTCCTCTATGCTACTTTGATTGCAATCCAAAACTTTGCTGTTTGTACTTAGCCTATCTGTCTCTTAGGTGAGCCTCCGTAGAGGCAGAGCCTGAGACAGGGTTTCCTGTGTAGGTGATTTATGGGGGGAGGATTCTCAGGAGAAACTCATCTGGAAACAAGGGGAGCAGGACTGCAGGGGAAGAAGCCAAGCAAAGAGGTTGTTTCAGCTGAAATCTTGCCTCAGGCTGACTCCATGGGGCTCAGGAGAGAATGACACCTCAGAGTTGTTGCCTCTTGAGGCAAGGGGACCAGGCTTCTGTACTCCAATATCAGTCAGCCACTGGCTGTGGGGAGAAGTGGAACACATAGCTTCCCCGGCATTTTTGGGCAGGAGTGGGGCCCTGGAGAAGGGCACAGGGTATAAGAGTGTCTGCTGCACTGCTCATCTCTGTGTCACAAGAAGAGTATCATAAGGTGTAAGGAAGCAGTAATACAGTGATTAGGATCAGCATCTTGGGTTTTAATCCCAGCTCTTCCTCTTATTAGCCTGGGCAAATTTTCTCATCCCTCTAAGCCTCAGAACCTCCCTCCTAAGTTGCCTGTGGGGTTAAATAAGGTGATGTGTGTAAAGTGCAGCATGGTGGTTCATAGTGAGCATTTGACTCGGTGGCTTAGTTTCCTTCTCTGTAAAATGGCGATGATAAGAGTAACTACCTCAGGGTTGTTGTGAGGATTAATTGAGTTAATTTATGTAAAGGCTTTGAATAATATTTGTCCCATAGTGCACACTCTATACGTGAGAGCTCTTCTTATTGTTATTGCTATTATTATAGTTGTCGTTGCTATTATTGTTATCATTTCAGTAGGGAAGCACTGGTGTGGCCCCTAAAATCAGGGCTGTAGCAGACCTCCAGTATCCTTTCCATGATGACTAGTGAGCATGTGTGTGTAGCCAAACAAATCATTTAGGTAAGAAGACCCTGGAAGATATGACTCAATGCAAATGCTCTTTTCCCCTCCTTTATTTCTTTCTGAGCTCTACATAGGTTTTTACTAGGTTGAGGGTTCATAGGAATATTTCACCTTTGTTTTCAGACTCACTGCCCCCAGTGACTTATGTATCCACTTCTCTCTGTGATGGGTTTCCATGAGTCACTAGCTATTCCTAAAGGAGAGCTAGGCCTTCTGAAATCTTCTTATTACATATTTATGTATTTAGAATGCAAAAGATTGTTTCACTAGAACTAGGAGTAGAAATGAGACATGATTGTTTATCCAGATTGTTCATTCAGAAATTTCTATAAAATGTTTATTCAATCTTTTTTCTACTATGATTTTTTTTCCTCTAATAATAAAGGTAGAATTTTGCTTTTATAAGTAGGAACAGAGGATGCTGTAACAACAACAACAACAACAACAACAAAATATATATATATATATATATATATATATGTAAAATGTTCTACGTATTTGCATGTTTACCAGCTATAATGAGGTGTAGTGAGGACAGGGCTGGAGTCATGACCAGGTCTGAGTAGGTATCTAGATCTCTGTGACCTTGGACAGTGCCACTTTGAGTCCCAGCGTTCCATCTGTAAAATGGGGATGGTGGTGATCATATCTGCTCTTTGCCCCTCTGTGGCGTGTGACATGGTCTGTGATGGCACCTTGTCAATGGTGACACGTCTTATGCAGGCTGGGGGTTGTCATCATCCTCATAAGCTTTCATTCTCTCAGGTGTCCTGCAAGAGACTGTAGTAATTCCAGGAGGTGATGGTTTCCTTTGTCATTTTGTTTCTCTCCCATAATTTTGTATGGTTTGAAAGGACTCCAGAGAGTTAACAATATCATCTCCCTCATTTCAGTAGGACAAAATGGCAGCTCCTAGAGGAAAGCTGGGTTGCCCATGGCCATAGCAGTTAGTGTTGAGTCAGGGCAGTTCTAATCTGTACAAATGGGACTGTGGGCAGTGTGACTGGGCGTCCCCTGGAAGGTTCCCAGAGCCTCGATAGGGTTCTACACTGGACCCTATACAGCAAGCACCTTCCTCCCGGCACTTCAGGGAGTTTCAGAAATGCATCAAGGTCCTAAGGCCATAATCGCAGAGCTCTGAATGGCTTTTCTTCTGGTCCATGTTAAACGCTTTCTTTTCCTGTTGTGAGAGTTCCTCCCTTGTTCGTGTAAATAAATCTGCATTTGTGATTTCTTTCCAGACAGGCTTTTGAGGAAATGGAACAAATGCAAAGGCTGCTGTCCAACAGAAATAGAATGCTAGCCACATGTGTAATTTTATATTTCTTAGGAGCCGCATTAAAATAAGTACAAAGAAACAGGTGCAATTTATTTTAATAATATATTTTACTTAACCAAATAAATCAAGAATATCATTTTGACATGAAATTAATACAAGAAACAAGTAATAAGCATCTTACATTTAATTTACATGAAAATGTGCATTGTGCATTTATAGAACATCTTAATTCAGACACTAAGTTTTCATGTGAAACCCTCGATCTGTATTTAGATTTCATAAAAATTTATGGTTGAAAAAGTAGACTTACATGCCCAAGTTGTTCCCATATACATAAAAAATTTTCAGTAACTGAAGTGGATACCAAAAAATCATTTTCCTTTAATATTCACATACACATTGGCAAAACTGGTTCATATTTTTAGAAAAATTGATTTGACTTATCAAAACTATGTACAAGTTAAGTAAATTCACCAACTCTTGTGTCAACTCAGTATTATTAATATCAAATTCAAAGGAGATATTGAATAAGTTGAAAAGAAACTCTAAATTTATCAATATCAACAGTGTCTTCAAATTTTTCTTTAGGTCTTGCAGCCAATGTGCATAAGCTGTCTATTACAATTTAAATCTTTTGCATATTGAGTCATGTTATAAAAATGTGTAAAATCATTACTATTGACTTGTATCGTGAAGTTGGAACATAAATTCTCACACCTGTCTGGCTAGGTCATGAATAAGATCTTCTTTTCCCTCCCTTGGAGCTTTAAATTTAGCTTGTTTGTATTCAGTGTGGATATAGGTGGGAAAATGTAAATCACACTGCCATTTTTTGTCTTTGATTAATGAATGAAATAATTGTTGAATGAAAATAATGATTTGGCAAGCATTCCTATAAAAGGAAATCAGGATAGAAAACTCCTATCAGGAAAATCTGAATTGGAGTTAACAGTACAGTAAATCTTTGTGAAACTCCTTTATCTCTCAATCCGTGAGCACTGGCAGAGAAAACAGTATCATTAAATTCATTGTCTTCTGTTTCTTTCAGCATTTCCATACTGGTGATCATTGTAGCATTTTCTAGTATACACTGAACCATTTGAACAACTGTATCCATGATACTTTTCACAGAGTGGGCTTCAGGAACCTGAGCACAAATGTTTTCAATATGTATCAGACAGAAGCAAATGTTTCCAGTATGTATCATGCAGTAGAATGAAGCAATAAAAGAAACATCAGTCTGTTAAAATCCCAGTAAATCAGATTTTAACCCAACCTAGCTGAAGGACTGTCTGTTGTGATAGAAACTAAATTTTCACGTGTAGGTGAAATTCTTCTTTGGCAGATGTAAAAGATGCAAAAATATCTCCACCACGGGTTGATATTTTTAGGCTGCAATTTGACAATATTTTTTCATATATTTGGAAATTCTTTGAGGCAAAACATACCCAAAGTATTAATTGGGCAGCATTCCATGTCACACAACTCAACTAAAGCTAAAGAAAAATATTCAAAATTTTTCAAATTTTGAATCAATCTTTGATATTGTTAGAAAGGTTATGTACTCTATGGCAATGTTCGTGACTTAACTAAAGATAATTCACTTTTTGTGAATAATCTTTTTTACTCTTTTCCTGAGAATATTTCCTTTAGCCATATTTCCATCTAAAATGGTTGCCTTGCCGGCCCTGTGGCTTAGCGGTTAAGTGCGCGCGCTGCGCTGCTGGCGGCCCAGGTTCGGATCCCGGGCGCGCACCGACGCACCGCTTCTCCGGCCATGCTGGGGCTGCGTCCCACATACAGCAACTAGAAGGATGTGCAGCTATGACATACAGCTATCTACTGGGGCTTTGCGGGGGGGAAATAAATAAATAAAATCTTTAAAATGGTTGCCTTTTTTGTGCAAGAATCCAAGCCATTTTGTAACTGACCGAAGTTAACAAGCTCAGAGCCTATTAAAAATTTGTTTAAAAAATTTTTGTTGGGTATTTAATTCTGATTTCAGCTGCTAATTTCATTGATTCTTTCTTTACTGTGGAGAGGAAACTGCTTATGAAATTCATTATGTATTTGCTGAAAATGTCTTCTCTATACAGCAAACTGCTTTTTCGTTTTACTCTGCCACAGCAAACTGCATTTGCCATTCATTGTGAGATTTGTGACATACCTTCTCCCACTTCTTTTTTGTTTCTTTACTGTTGTAGTCATAGTTATGGTTTCTGCGTCCCCACTCAATTCTGCATCAGTACCATGCCTTTGTTTTAAATTTAAAAATTTGTCCATACATATTTATTTATTTATTTATTTTTGTGAGGAAGATCAGCCCTGAGCTAACATCCATGCCCATCCTTCTATTTTTTTGCTGAGGAAGACTGGCTGTGGGCTGACATCCGTGCCCACCTTCCTCTACTTTATATGGGACGCCACCACTTTATATGGCCTGACAAGCGGTGCATGGGTGCACTCCCAGGGTGTGAACCCGGGCTGCCAGCAGCAGAGCACGCACACTTAACCACTATGCCACGGGGCTGGCCCCTGTCCATACTTATTTTTTAAGTAGAAAAATAATTATATTTCACTTTTGTTACTAATTATGATTTATATAGCTATCACTATAACTTATATTCTCTGCATAATAAACACATTATAATGTTTCATCAGTGCATGGGGAAAAAAATCACTTGAACTGAATCAATCTATTGTCCCTGAGTAGAACAGCAATGTGTTTATATATAATACTAGAAACAACACATGTGCCTGACATGCACACTGCAATACAGCAAAAATATCTTAGGTCGTGCAGTGGTTAAAGTGAAATGTCATCTTACCCAAACAGGAAAGTTGTGCTTAATGGAAAAATATTTTACAATGCTTCAGTTTTTAAATTAAAACTAAACCAAATTTAAAATTCATTTCCTGAGTCGCCTTGGCCACATTTCAAGTGCTCAGAAGCCACACCTGGCTAGTGGCCACCGCATTGGACAATGCAGATAGAGCTGAACAGTGAGTTAGAAATTTATTTATTTTTTGTTCCTTTGAGTTCAGATAACTTTCAAATTCTGTTGTCTTTAACTTAAAAATAACTTTATTTTAAATCTCAATTTATAATTTATTTTCATTATTTCTGTCATTTGCTCATAGACTGGGTTCTGTTGGTGAATTTTAGCACAGGCTTAACGTTAAGAGTTCTGTTCTAGACAGAAGAGGGGGTGCAGCTTAGGGAAGGCCTGCAAATGTCTTTGCGGCCCCCCCCTCCCCGCCCCGCCGCCTCTGATTCCTGGGGAGTAAGGGTAAGTTTAGAGCCAGGACTTGGGAGTTTAGGGCTTACATAATGGCTGTTTCTTTACTAACTTTGTGGTCTTGGGAAATTTACTTCTCTGTGACCCGCTGCCTAACCTGTGAAATGTGATGCTGGTGCCTCCCCCTCGGGGGTCTGATGGGAGAGTAGATACAGTGGGAAGCCCTTCGTAAGCTCTTGTGTTTTACCTTCCTGACTTGATCTTCCATTGTGTGATGGTATTTGGGGGCAGGAGGTATGTTTAGTATGGCCACTGGAGTCCTGTGTCCTAGTAGAAAGATTTCTCCTGTATTCTGTCATTGAAGCCAGGCTGGGCTAAAAGCAAGAAACAAAGAACTTTCATATTCCTAAGTAGTAGCTTTTTCTCTCCAGAGAGTTGGGCCAGGATAGTATTTTTGCTAGTAAGTCAAATAGTTTCCTCAGTTCTCCACTTTTTTAGCGTGTGTCTAGCGCAACCACAACATGTTTGTTGAAAGGTATTGGCTCAGGAGTACTTCAAGTTAAGTTTCCATAGAGGTGCATTTTATTATTATTATTTTTTTTATAATTTTATTTATCCCCCCAAAGCCCCAGTAGATAGTTGTATGTCATAGCTGCACATCCTTCCAGTTGCTGTATGTGGGACACGGCCTCAGCATGGCCAGAGAAGTGGTGCGTCGGTGCACGCCCGGGATCCGAACCCAGGCCACCAGCAGCGGAGTGCGCGCACTTAACCGCTAAGCCACAGGGCCGGCCCGAGAGGTGCATTTTAAAAGGAGCTAAAGTTCTACACATTAAGCCGCTTTTGAATTAACTGGAGCATGCCTTTAGGGTTGCATGGAATGGCTATGTGATGCCCAGTAGTGCATTAGAGGTCGGCCCAGGGAGGCCAAGAAGCAAAGAGTGGGATAACAAGGAGACCAGCTCCTGGCCCTGCCCATGCCCTGCCTCCTTGAAGAGCTCTGGGGGAAGGCACTGGCTTTTCTGAGTAGAGTGACAGAGTGTGTGCTAAGAAGGAGACTGACCCTCTGTCATCTGCCAGGCTAATCAAGACAAGCCCAGAACTGGCTGAGTCCTGCACATGGTTCCCCGAGTCCTATGTGATTTATCCAACTAATCTCAAGACCCCAGTTGCTCCAGCGCAGAATGGAATCCACCCACCAATCAATACTTCAAGGACAGACGAAAGAGAGTTCTTCCTGGCTTCTTATAACAGAAAGAAAGAAGATGGAGAGGGCAGCGTTTGGATTGCAAAGTCATCCGCCGGTGCCAAAGGTGAGCTGGCATTGCGGTCCCTCTCCCTTTCCTGTAGGTTCCCAGGTGCTTTGTTCAGTGGTATAGTAGATTTTAATGATGTCTTTAGATGAGTGACTATTCTAATCTGAATCCTCAAGGGTAGAGACCACGTCTAGTTACATAGTTTTAAATATCTAAGTACTGATGACTTCTAAATACCCAACCGGGGTATTTCCATTTAAGCTCCAAATCCAGTGGCAGGCTTCCAAACTGAACACATTTGCTATAGAACTCTTCATTTCCTTCCCAACTTTACCCACCCTGCCTGCTCCTCGTTCAGTCTTCCCAATTAGTATGTGATCCCACTCTTCACCCAGTCTCTGAGCCTAAAACCTAGGATTCATCATGGTTGACTGCTTTTTTCTTTACATTCTATACCTAATGCATCAGCAAGTCTTGCTAGCTCTACCTTCAGAATATCTTCTGAATTAGACTTTCCTGCCATTTCCACTGCTCTCACTTGAAGTCAAAGCTACTATTCTCTCTAGTCTGTGTAATTGCAGTGCCTGCTCACAGTCAATTCTCCTCTGAGACAGAGTGATGTTTTAAAAACATAAATCTGATCATGTTACTCCCTGCTCAAGACTTAGCAGCAGGCTTCCCAATGCAATAGGATAAACTCCAGATCCCTGATGGTAGCCTACACCGTTTGACATTGCCCATATCTCTGATCTCATCTTCTGTTCTTGGCCTTGCTCACTGTACTGGAGCCACGCCTGCCTGGCATCCTGCAAATACTCTAAATTTGTCTCTGTGCCTGGAATGCGCTTACATGGATTATTTTCTATTTCTCTCAGCTCAAATGTTGCCTTCTCCAAGAAGACTTTTCTAATCCAAAATAGCCTCTGTGCCCATTACTTTCTATCCTTCACAGCTTTATTTTTCCTTCTTGCACTAACCTCTTCCTAGCACTGTATTATGTATTTGTTTGTCTGTCTGTCTCCGCTATCATACTGTAAGCTCTATGTAAACACAGAGTTTCTGTCTTATTCATCTCTGTACCCTCCCCATAGGCACTCAATAAATATGTGTTGAATGAATGCATAGAAGGGTTACTCAGGCTTAAAATCTAGGCAGTTCCCAATCTAATAAACACATAAACACAGTCTCTCTCTCTCTCTCACTACCATCATATGTTCTTTCTAAAACCATTCCATTTTGAGCTTACTTCTTTTATTGCCTTGGAAGACCGTCTGGTCATTGGTACTCATTTCTATCCCCGGGCCAGTGGACCTCACCTTCTTTTCTAACAACCGTGAGACATCACCTGGAATCTCCTGAAAGTGGGAGAGTTGGACTCTCGCCGCAAGCCAGGTACCTCTTCTACTTCTCTCTCCCCTCTTGTGTCCTCTTCTCAAGTACTGTCCCCTAGCTAGGTTCTAATGTTAAATGGGGGAATTGGAAGAGGAAATAAACATCCATAGTATTCCAGATTCCTCCTGTGGATTTGGGCTTGAGTCAGGAGGGCTTGGTGTCATGGAGTCTTGACTGGAGTGAGAACTAGGAGTGAGGCAGGGCCCTTGGTGAAAGTGGCAGTGATCCTACCTAGGTGGTCCCTGGACCCTTACCAAGACAAGACATAGAGTGATACTCAGCAGCAGAGAGAGGTGAAGAGAGAATAAAATACCAAACAAAAAAGAAATTTTGCTTTAGGAGGTGAAGAGATAAGCAGTGTGCATTTGTTTTGTCTGGGAACTACAAAATGAAACCGATAGGCTGAATGAATGGCTTTTATTCTTGTTAAACAAATGTTTAATACCTACTACCTGCTGGGTATAGTTGGCTTAACCTTCACACTGTATCCAGTATCAAGCTGCTGTTCACCACCTCCACTGCCCATCTTGGATCTGAGCCACCTTCACCTCTGGAATTGCTCCCTGTCTTCCTGCTTTTGGCCATTCTCCAGAGTCTACATACAATATGGCAGACAGAGATCCTCTTAAAGCACCATCACACCATGTCACATCTGTGTTCAGCACTGTCTGCCTGGGTCCAGCAAAGGTTCAATATATGTATTGAGTGAATGAATGAATGAATGAATAGAAGAAGTGATGAGTGTTTGGAGATACAAGCGTAAATGAAACAGACATTATCTCTTGCCCTTATGGATCCAGTCTAGCCAGAAAGAAGGCTAATGATGCATCTGTTTCCAAATAAGCTAAAAGTTGAAATGTGAATAAAGAACAAAAAAAGACTGTGATCTTGAAGCTCCTTGAAGAACTCCAGAGTTCCTTCATGATTTCTCCAGGTTTAGTTAGTGAGGACATAAACAAATCATATTAGAAATACAGTTAACAAACACATGGAAATGGGCTACACTGGTACCCAAAACTTACAAAATAAATGTGGATTTTATGTATCATTTTATACCTACAAAATGAGAAAACAAAAACCTTCAGTGATACTGATGCTGAAAGTTTGTTGTGAACTGCTACCCCTTAGTGGTGATACATAGCCCTTTGAAAAAGCCATACCATAACACAGAGAAGAGCAATGAAGAGCCACTAATCTCATTCCTGAAGACTTACTCTAGGCAATATTTTAACAGAAACAAGGGTGACCTACAGCAAAGACATTTACTACTATGTTACCTGTAATAGCAAAATATTATTTAGAAACAACCCCATTGCACTGTCCAACAATCAGTAAATAAATGTGTGATTTTGTACATCCACACAATGGGATATTTTTTCACCTGCTAACATAATTGTAAAGTTAATGCAGAAACAGTGAAAATATTGACAATATAAAGTGAAAAAAGAATATGAAATGAGTTCACTACGATTGAACCAGTCTTTGCCCTTATGTAAAGGAAGGTAATATGAAAAGATGAAAATAATTATATTAGGAAATAAGACTATGGGTAACTTTTCAATTTCTCTTTAATGTCATGGTTTTTCAATGATAGTAGTTTTTTAAAGTTATAAAAATGTATCTATCTACTTCTTCCCATTATTTTTCCCACCTATCATGATGCATTAGGTATATTAATTTTCAGTAAGAAATAGTCTACGTAAGGAAATAGCATAAGGAAAATAAGGTTGGAGTGTATTGGAAGGAACGTGACAATCTGGTCACGTTCTTTCCAATGAGCAAGGCTTTAGGAGGTGATAGAGATAGTTTCAGGGCATTAGTAGGAAAGTGGAGTTTTAGGATGATTGTTCCAGAAGTAGTATGCAAGGTGCTGTAGAGGAGGAAAGACTAAGGTCTGTAATGAGGAACTGACAAGTGGAAATAAAGAGGAACCAGGATATCTGAGTGTGGTTCCTAAGGGAGTTGAAACAGAATGAGTCATGTTCATACAAAAAGAGAGGGAGGGAGCTTTTCCAAGTTCATTTGCAGTTTCTTGTTTAAGAGGCTAACCAGGGGCCGGCCCTGTGGCTTGGTGGTTAAGTGCGCGCGCTGCAATGCTGGTGGCCCGGGTTCAGATCCCGGGTGTGCATCGAGGCACCACTTCTCCGTCCATCCTGGGGCCGAGTCCCACATACAGCAACTAGAGGGATGTGCAGCTATGACATACAACTATCTACTGGGGCTTTGGGGGGAAAAAATAAAATCTTTAAAAAAAAAAAAAAAAAAAGAGGCTAACCAAATGGTGGAGCAAGTGACAGAAATGAGGCAGTTGAAAAAGGGGTTGGCTTTAGGAAAGACAAATCATTAAATTAATGAGCTAAATTAAATTGATTTGTGCTCAAAGCGTGAGCCCCGAGTAGAGATAAGCTATAAATCTAAAGCATAGCTGGGAGGTCCTAGAAGTGAAAAGTGAGTTTAGTAAGGTCACAGGATATGAGATCAACTGAGAAATTCAATCACATTTCTCTATGCTGACAATGAATGTGGAAACCAAAAGTAAAAACACGATACCATTTACAGTCACCCCAAAGAAAATGAGATGCTTAGGTATAAAATTAACAAAACGTGTAGGATCTGTATGCTGAAAATTATGAAACAACTGTGAAAGAAGTCAAAGAGAACCTAAATAAGTGGACAGACATACCAAGTTCATGGATTGCAGGTCTCAACATAGTAAAGATGTCAGTTCACCTCAAGTTGGTCTGTGGATTTAATGTGATTGCTATCAAGACCTCAACCAGATTTTTGTGTAGACATAAAGCTTCTTCTGAAATTCATTTGGAAAGGCACAGGCCTTAGAATAGCTTAAACAATCTTGAAAAAAGAATCAAGTGGGAGGAATCACTGTACCCAATATTTAAGTGTATTTAGGTACAGTGTACAGCTAAAGTGCATATAGCTACAGTAATCAGTACACTGTGGTATTGCCAGGGGATGGAAACATAAATTAGTGGAACAGAGAACTCAGAAATAGACCCCATATGTATGTCACCTGATTTTTGACAAATGTGCAAAAGCTGTTCGATAGAGGAAGGGTAAACTTTTCAGCAAATGGTGCTGGAGCAGGTAGATATCTATAGACAAAAAAATGGATCTCAACCCTAACCTCACACCTTATACAAACACTTAACTCAAAGTGGATTGTGGACTTAAATGTAAAATATAAATCTATAAGATTTTTCAGGAAAAAATAGGCGATAGGGCCAGGCAAAGAGTTTTTAAACTTGATACCAAATGTGTGATCCATAGTAAAAGTTGATATGGTGAACCTCATCAAAATCAAAAACTTTTGCTCTGTGAAAGATCCTATTAAGAGGATGAAAAGAAAAGCTACAGGCTTGGAGAAAGTATTTTCAAACCACAGGTCTGACAAAGGACTCATATCTAGAATATATAAACAACTTTCAAAACTCAATAGTGAAAAAAAAATTTTAATCCAATTAGACAATGGGCAAAAGACATGAGAATGTGTTCCATTGAAAAGCCTCTATACATGGAAAATAAGCAAATGAAAAGATTTTCAATATCATTAACCATTAGGGAAAAGCAAATTAAAACCACAATGAGCTATCTCTATACTCCTATTAAAATGGCTAAAATAAGAAATGGTAATGCCAGTAAATGCTGGCAAGGGTGAGGAGAAACTAGATCACTCCAGCAGTGCTGGTGGGATGTAAAATGGTACAGGCATTCTGGAAAATAGTTTGGCAATTTCTTATAAAACTAACCCTGCCACTACCATGCAACCTAGCAATTAGACACTCTTGGGCATTTGTCCCAGAGAAATGAAAACTTACATTCACACAAAAACCTGTACATGATTGTTCATAGCAGCTTTATTTGTAATAGCCTCAGACTGGAAACAACTCAGATTCCTTCAAAAGCTGAATGACTAAGCAAACTGTGGTGAATTGATACCATGGAATACTACGCAGCAATAAAAGGGAAGGAAACTATTGATAAATGCTACAACTTGGATGAATCTCCAGGGAATTATGCTGAGTGAAAAACCAATCTCCAAAGATCATATACTGTATAATTCTATTTATATAACATTTCTGAAATTACAAAATTGTAGAAATTGAGAACAGATTAGTGATTGTCAGGAGGGTGGTGTGGGGAGGGAGGGAGGTGTGGCTTTAAAAGAGCAACTTGAGGTATCCATGCAATAATGGAACTGTTCAGAATGGGAGAAGATATTTGCAAATCATATATCTTCGAAGGCACCTGTATCCAGAATATATAAAGAACTCTTATAACTCAATAATAAAAAGACAACCCTATTAAGAAATGAGCAAAGAATCTGAATAGACATTTCTCCAAAGAAGATATAAGTAGCCAATAAGCACGTGAAAACATGCTCAACATTCTTAGTCATTAGAGAAATGCAAATCAAAACTACAATGAGATACCACTTCACACCCACCAGGATGGCTTTAACCAAGAAGATAGATAATAACAAATGTTGGCAAGGATATGAAAAAATTAGAACTGTCATATATTGCTGGTGGGAATGTAGAATGGCATAGCCACTTTGAAAAACAGGTAGTTCCTGTTTTCGTAGTTCCTCAAAAAGTTAAACGTAGAGTTTAACATATGACCAAACTATTCCACTCCTAGGTAGATTCCCGAAAGAATTGAAAACATGTCCACACAGAGACTTCTATGCAAATCTTCATAGCAGCATTGTTCATAATAGCCAAACAACAGTGGAAACAACCCAAAATGTCCATCAGTTGATGAATGGATGAACAAAATGTGGTATAGCCATTTAATAGAATATTATTCAGTCATAGAAAGGAGGAATGAAGTACTGATACATGCTACAACATGGATGCTCAATGAAAGAAGCCAGACATGAAAAGGCCACATACTGTATGATTCCATTTATATGAAACATGTGGAATAGAGAAATCCATAGAGACAGATAAGTGGTTGTCAGGGACTAGGTTGAGGAAGGAATGGGGAGTGACTGCTGATGGATATGGGTTGTTTTGGGGAGGTGATGAAAACATTCTAAAATTAGATTGTAGTGATGGTTGCAAAACTCTTGGATATACAAAAAACCATTGAATTGTACACTTTAAAAGGGTGAATTTTATGGTGTGTAAAATATATCTCAATAAAGCTGTTAAAGAGGATATTATATCACTTATTTAATGTTGGTGGACACTTTGCATGTATCCAGTTTTTTTCTTTTACGATGCTTCAGGGAATCTATTTGTGCCTTTGTGTTTATGCTTTAACCTTCCTGATATTTCTGTAAGATATAGTGTTAGAAGTGCGTTTATTGGTCATAGACAATATATAGTCTTTATTATGGTGATCAGTGACCAGTATAGAGTGGCATTTATTTAGGGTGCTTAGATATTTTGAATGTCTGTAAAAATGAAATTTCATGGTTGGAGGCTGCCAAGATAGTGTTTACCATCCTATATGGAGAAAGAGTTAATAATCCTGGTGCTCTTGTGGGTAGAGGGGAGATTGTGAGAGATTGGAGAAAGAAAAGAGTGAGCGGGCCAATAAAAGCCTATCAGCTTTTTCCTGCTGTCAGTATTTTCTCTCTGGCTTTGTAGAGAACTTTTCCTCTTGGGATGAGCTGAACTAATCTCTGTTTTGATTTTGCCCTGTTAGGTGAAGGCATCCTCATCTCCTCGGAGGCTACAGAGCTTCTGGATTTCATAGACAACCAGGGCCAGGTGCACGTGATCCAGAAATACCTTGAGCACCCACTGCTTCTGGAGCCAGGTCATCGCAAGTTTGACATTCGGTAACGCATCAGTGTCTGGAGTTTTTGTTTCGCTAATCTGAAAAAAATGCAGTGGTGCGTGACGGGGACGGTAACATGGAATGTGAGGAAACATTTGACCGTGTTTAATATGTTACCAAAATTGAGCACAGCTGAATGGAACTGAGCTTCTGTACCTGATTTTCTATTTTTCTTTCAGTATTTTTCTTTTCTTTCTAGAAAATGTTACAAAGATTATAGATTTTCTTTTTTTTATATTCTCTTTAATGAAAATGACTTGTGGATCCAAAGAGAAGAGTCTAAATGTATGGGGCTTGCTGATGGAAGAAGCTGAGAGATGTACATAAAACACACAATTCAGACACAACATCATGTGACCCTGCCAAACATGTCCTCACTTCATTGTTTGTGTCCGACTTCTTAAGGATTTCATTAACACACTTCAGGTTTTTGGATATTAGCTTTCTGAGCAAAGGGCCTGGCATGGAGCTTTCTAAAGCTAAACAGCCCTCACCCCAGCTTGGCCTTGCTCTCCTCTCCTCATCGAGGACTCTTTGTCCCCTTGATACCTTCATATTGACTTGCCGCTTCTTGAACACCAATCTTATGTCAGATCAGCTTCAGGAGGAACGATCTTAAGATTACTGAAAGAGCAGACATGGCAAGTGGAGGTTTCATAGATTAACCTTAAAAACCAGCCCATTCAGATCTCTTCAAAATGCTTTCTGTATTGAATGGATCGAAGTCTCCTTGTCACTTATGGTGAAGTGTTTTGTTTGCCTCATTATGGTAATAACGCACTATCTTGGCTAACTGTCATGATTTGCCCTGTGTAATTTTAGAACCTGCCTCCTTCCTCTACTAACCCTCCAAAAAGTCAAGGTGTAGGGATGATGTATATAATACGGAGAAACTTTGGGTGAATTGAGTGAAATAGTGTTTTTATTGACTTGCAGAAGCTGGGTTTTGGTGGATCATCTGTATAATATCTACCTCTATAGAGAGGGGGTGCTTCGGACTGCTTCAGAACCATATCATGCTGATAATTTCCAAGACAAAACCTGCCATTTGACCAATCACTGCATTCAAAAGGAGTACTCAAAGAACTATGGGAAGTATGAAGAAGGGAACGAAATGTTCTTTGAAGAGTTCAACCAGTACCTAACAAGTGCTTTGAACATTACCCTGGAGAGTGGTATCTTACTACAAATCAAACATATAATAAGGTAACTTAATTGTATCTTGTTTGATTATGAGTCTTGAAGGAGCTTTGGGAGTTTATGTCTTTCAAGGAATTGTTCCATTTAAGTTGTGTAATTTAAGGACAAACATTATTTGTAATATTCCTTTATTATCCTTTTAATATCCATAGGATCTATAATGATGTCACTTCTTTCATTCCTTATATTGGTAATTTATATCTTCTATTTTACTTGGACAGATTGGCTAGAGGATTATCAATTTTATTAAGCTTTTAAAAAAATCACCTTTGGGCTTTATTGGTTTTCTCTTGTTTTGTTTTCAATTTCTTTGATTTATGCTCTTTATTATTTCCTTCCCTCTGTTTTTTTGAGGGAGGGGGTTAATTTGTTCTTCTTTTTCTAGTTTTCTTAAGGTGAAAGGTTAGATCATTGATTTAAGAGTTCCTTTTTTAAAAATATAAGCATTTAGTGCTGTCAGTTTCCCTCTTAAGTACTCATTAACTGCATCACAGATTTTGCTATGTTGTGTTTTCAATTTCACTTTATTAGAATATTTTCTAGTTTCTCTTGTGACTTTTATCTTTGACTCATGTGTTATTTAGAAATTTTTGCTTATTTTCCAAATATTTGAGGTTTTTCCAGATATCTTTACTGATTTCCACTTTAATTCCATTATTGTCAGAGAACATACTTTGTATGGTTTCACGTCTTTAAAATTTGTTAAATTTTGTTTCATGGCCCAGAATGTGGCCTGTCTTAGTGAATGTTCCATGTGTACAAAAATAATGTTTATTCCTCTACAGTTGGGCAGAGTGTTCTATACATGTCAATTAGGTGAAGGTGGTTAGTAATGTTTTTCAAGTCTTCTATTTCCTTGTTGATTTTCTGTTCCACTTATTCTGTCCAGTATTGAGAGGAAAACCGTCGAAGTCTGCAAGTATAATTATAGATTTGTCTGTGTCTCCTTTTAGTTCTTGCTTCCTGTATTTTGAAGATGTGTGATTAGGTGCATATACGTTTAGAATTGTTATCTCTTCTTGGGGGAATTGATCACTTTATCGTTATGTAATTTCCATCTTTGCCTCTGGTAATATTTCTTATTCTGAAGTCTATTTTGTCTGATATTAGTAGAACAGCTTTCTTTTGATTAGTGTTCCCATGGCATGTCTCATTCCATCTCTTTGATTCTATTCTATTCTATGTTCTATTCCATATGTAAAGTGGGTTTTGTTTTTCATTCAATGTAATAATCTCTCTTTTAATTGGTGTGTTTATATCATTTAAATTTAATGTAGTTATTGATTTGGTTGGATTTATATCTACCGTTTTATTATTGGTTGTCCGTTTATCCTCTCTTTTTTCATTTCCCCCTTCCCTGCCTTCTTTTGAATTATTGGAATATTTTTTTTAGAGTTCCATTTTAATTTTTCTGTTGAGTGTTTATATCTCTCTTTTTCTTTTTTTAGTGGTTAATCTAGGGATTACAATATACATACCTAATATTTCACAGCCTTCTTGGAGTTAATAATTTACCACTTCAAATAAAATGCAGAAAACTTATAGTTCACTTAAGTCTCCCTTTCTATATTATAGTTGTTGTATGTATTACATCTACATACATTGAAATCTCCAGCATGTAATGTTATAATTTTTGCTATCAACAGCCATGTATGTATTTTTATACGTATGATATATTTTCAGGTTAGATATAAAAAATACAAGACCAAACTATATGCTGTCTATAAGGAGCTCAATTTAAATATAAAAGAAGAAAAAAAAAATTTTTTTCCTGTTTACCCAGGTATTTACCATATTTACCATTTCTTTTGCTCTTCCTTCAGTCCTGAAGTCCAGGTTTCTCTCTGGTATAATTTCCCCCACTGCAGTTTGGTGTGCCTTTGTTATAAATCAGGTGGCCATTCATGTGAAGGGCTGTTCCCAGGATCTCCATTCTGTTCCATTAGTCTATTTATGTGCCCTGTCATTACCACCCTATCATGATGACTGAGACTTTTTTCTTGATGTATTCTTACATAGAGTCTAGCAGAATAATTACAGAGTTTCGAGTCCCATTTCTTCAGGGATTACAGGTGATTAGAATTCTGACACCAGATACACTGAGTATGCTGAAGAAAGAATTCCTATTTTAGGCAAAAGATTTACTGGATATTTGCTGCCCCCCCTACTCCCTCCCACCGACATTGTTCTGTGCAGTTCAGAGAGTATTGCTGCTTTGGTGCTATAAATACTCCTTACAGCTCTCATGGTTTTTTTTTTCCAGCAGCTAGCCTCCCCCTAACTTCCCACTCCAGCTGAAAAAAGATGTACTGTATAAAGTCTCTGATGATGAAAAAAACTTCTTTCAAGTGAATTATTCATCTTGAGCGTCCAGCAGATAAAAAATAATATTTAGTTTTGATTTGGTTCTGGCTCTTGGTTTTTCCTTTATGTGTCAGAGCATAACGTTTCTTTCACTTTCTATTCTTTTGTATTGTTGGTTTTTTTCCTGTTTCTTTTTTACCATGAGCATCTATTAAATTTTAAAACTTTCTTAATTGTAATATTTTAAAGGGTATTTTAATTAAAACAAAAATTAAGGGTATTCTCTCACAGAATAGAGATAAGATATAGAAAAAAATGTGATATGTGGTTTGCCAATGCAGGTTGAAAATGAATGGGAGAAGCAATGCTTATTCCAGCTGTTTTCTTTTTCTGTGAGGAAGATCAGCCCTGAAATAATATCCATGCCAATCCTCCTCTTTTTGCTGAGGGAGACTGGCCCAGGGCTAACATCCGTGCCCATCTTCCTCTACTTTATATGGGACGCCGCCACAGCATGTCCTGACAAGCGGTGCGTCGGTGCGCGCCCGGGATCCGAACCCGGGCCACCAGCAGCGGAGCGCACACACTTAACCGCTGCACCACGGGGCCGGCCCCCCAATTGGTTTTTAAATGGCTAACTGTCCAAAATTATTTTTTAAAGTTTGAACATATTTGTGGAAGTATTTTCCATTTTGGGAAAAAAGAAAAGGAAATTGATGCTTGGAGTGAGGGGTGGTGGTGGAGGGAGGTCGCAGGGAGCAAGACCCTGGCTCCAAGTTCACGGAGGCCTCAGTTCTGAGTGTTGAGTCAAAACCTATATGGAAGAATACATCGTAGAGTTAGTCACATGGAAACCAGTTCCCCGCATCTTTTTCCTTCTGAATATACAGCTGCATAGAAGGACAGCTATCTCTGGTAACCTTAGAGTCGTCATAACGTATTTTACTTACTAAGGTAACTATTTTGCCCCAACATTCAGTTCAGGGAAAAATCAGAAAAGATCTTCACGAAGCAGAAATGGCATAGGTTTTCTGGGATGGTTGATTTATTATTCATAAATACTAGATTTATGATTACCATAATTAATGATAAAGTAATAAAATATGCTTGCTCATAGTATTAACATTTCTTAGATGTTTCCTGGCTACCAGGAGTTATGCCAAGTTCCTTATGTAATTATCTTGTTGAACCTTCTCAGCACTAGGAGTAGGTATTATTTTTACCCCAGCTTTATGGGTAAGGAAATCAGTACTTGGCTCAGAGAGGTTAAAAACCTTGTCTGAGATTCTGACCTCAGCAGCTGGACCTCAGACCTCATGTACTTATTCATTATGTTTCTGAGATTCATTTTCAACTGCTTTTCTGTGTCACTAAAATCTTCTAATTTTTTCACACAGTAGTTGGTGTTAGTAATTCTATTCTATACTTCAGTATTTAGATTCTGTATATATAGCTCTAAATCTTTTGATTATTAATACTTTGGCATTACGACTGGAGCTAGTAAAAGAAATGAATGAGGCCAGCATTCTTTTTGCAAAGTCTGCTCTTCACCGGATGGTGGTCCATTTCTTTTATATGGCAAAAATACCTGGAAGTGCTTTCTTTGTTACAAATAACTATGGCAGCAGCCCTCCTGTTGGAGGAATCCACACGCACCTCTGCAACCACAGTAACTTAGCGCTGTGCTGGGAAAGCAGCCTCTACCTGGAAGAACGTGAGTGGTCGCAGAGTTTTCTAACAAATTGCTTGATAAGTAGCATCATCTTGAATAATCTATTGGTAATAAATTTAAAAGAGAGAATTAAGTCAACGCCAATTTTTATCCGTACATTTGATATAAAACCATCCAAGCACATCTCCTGTGTTCCCTCTCCCTCAATCACCCCATTCTCAGCAAGCTCTCCCTCTCTGCCCCACAGAAGCTGCCTCATGAGCGTGGAGCCCGCCATCAGCACCAGGCACCTCCCTTACCAGAGCTTCCAGCTCTTTGGCTTCGACTTCATGGTGGACGAGGAGCTGAAGGTCTGGCTCATTGAGGTCAACGGTGCCCCTGCTTGTGCTCAGTAAGCGTGAACACGATTGTGTTTAACAAGTGGGAAGTTGATTCTGCGGCTAGAGTAGCCTGTCTTGGCCAGGTGCTGAGCTCCCGTGACTGAAGTGTCTAGTCTGCTGTCAGGGAGGGTGTAACAGTGGTGGGAGTCCTTTGGGAGGATCCTGGCTGGCGGGGGGCTTTGCTGAGTCATTTCCTTTCCCGTTGCCCCATGTGTGTTGAGCGGTAAGTCTGTGCTCAGGTGGGTGGTAGTTGCTGTGAGAGTTTCAAACAAAGCCAATAACTGCCACAGGGAGACCCTCTTGTGACAAGTTGAGTGAGCAGGGTCCTGTGAGTGGGGAGGACAGTGATGACCAAGAAATTTGGGGCTCCCCAGGCGGGAAGTGGTCTGAGGAGGCCTTGTCGACACAGTGGAGCTGGAACTGGGATGTAACAGAAGAGCATCACTTGTGCCGAGGGGAGGGAGAGCCTTCAGAAAGGGGACACAGCATCCAGCGGGACCTTGCTCTGTGCCAGGCTCTATGGCGGATGCACAGAACCTGCCCTCGGGGAGCTTCTGTTCCTCCTGGGGAGAAGCCTGGCTGCAGCGTGGGGTTAGTGTCATGGAGTAAGGAGATGAAGGTGAGAGGTCAGTTGGGACTGCACGGTAGAAGGCCTTCAGTGTGAGGCAAAGGCATTCAGACTTAATCCTCAAAGGCCGTTGGTTCTTCTGAAGATGCACTTTCCTCATGTCAGGACCCTTTCATGGTTCCCCACGTCCACGTCTTGGAGAAATTGAGGTGATTTTCCAAAGGTTAAGGAGAGAGTCCTGTACCTACAAGGGGCAGTGTTAACACGCAAGTCGTTCTTTCCTTAGGAGCCAGGCCTTTGTCCCCTGCTTGGTGGCTGTGACACGGCAGGTGTGATTCTGTCTCATTCATCAGGCCCCAGTACTCTTTTTTTTTTTTTTTTTGTGAGGAAGATCAGCCCTGAGCTAACATCCATGCCAATCCTCCTCTTTTTGCTGAGGAAGACCGGCTCTGAGCTAACACCTATTGCAAATCCTCCTCCTTTTTCTCCCCAAAGCCCCAGTAGATAGTTGTATGTCATAGATGCACATCCTTTTAGTTGCTGTATGTGGGACGCGGCCTCAGCATGGCCAGAGAAGCGGTGCGCCGGTGCGCACCCGGGTTCCGAACCCGGGCTGCCAGTAGCAGAACGCGCGCACTTAACCACTAAGCCACGGGGCCGGCCCCAGCCCCCAGTACTCTTTAGCTGCCCCCCAACCCGCCAGGCCTCGGGCTAGGCCCTGGGTCACAGTTGTGAGCAAAGACGCACAGGCCCTGCCCTTAGTAGAGAGAGACTATGGGCAAGCAAAGGACTAGACAAATATAGATTAAAAACTGGGACAAGCGCTTTAATAAAGGATGTTAAAAAGTAATATAATTGAGCAGAAGGCCCCCATTGGGAGGTGATGTTTGGCACTGAGATTTGGAGGAGGAAGGAGAGGTAAGTAGGCTAAGGGTGGAGGAGAGCAGAATGTTCACATCTTCCCTTCACCACATCCACAGTGGGCTGCCCGTTTCCTCCTGTCCTGCCTAGCACAGGTTCATCCTCCATCATGCTCCAGACCCCGTCCCCTCCCTCCCCTCCCTTCCCTGTCCTCTCGCCTTCCTCATCGACAGTGTCACCCTTTCTCCCTCACTGCTGCCTAGATCCCTGCTATCAGCGTGTGCGTGCACAGCAGATTTTCCCAGCTATTAAAAAAAAAAGCTCTCCCTGATGTCACTTCTTGCTCCAGTGACCACTCCCTCTCCCTGCTCCCTTCACAGCCAAACTTCTAGAAAGCAGTGTCTGTGTGCCGGGCCATTCCAGCCTGACTTCCAGCCCAAGCGCCCCACAGAAACGAAGGTCCCCTGCCAAGCCCAGTGGCCCCTTATAGTCCTTACTTCCCCGGACCTCTCAGCTACATTTGAGGCAGCTGGCCACACCTTGCCGAGGCTCTTTGCGTGGCTTCGGGCGCACTCTGTATGGGAAGGTTTGACCGAGGAGGTGTGGGCAAGATTGGCCTCTTGTTCCTCATCAGCTGACCTGAGTCAGTACCTTAGCCCTGGGTATTCGTCTTCTCTCTCTGCTGCACTTTCCCTGTATGTGATCTTATTCAACTTCATGATTTTAAAAACACCAAATTACATCATAGCCCAGAGTTCCACACCGGTGTCTGCATCTGCCTTTCCGGCATCTTGCAATGATGTGTGATAGGCCCCGCCTCCCCCCAGGGTGGCCCATCTCAGTGACTGTTCGCTCCCCTCCCCCTAGAGCCTAAGCCGGAAGCCTGACAGAGATCCTGCCTCCCCTTTCATTACCCTCACATTCTGCCCATCAGGGCCTTGTCAGTTCTGCCTCCAGCCTCGTCAGTCCTCTGCCTGCCTCTCCCACTGCCCTCGCTCTCCCAGGTTATCCTTGATTGTTCTGGAGGATTTCGCAAAGAGCCTCCTCACTGGGATCTCCACTTCTGCTTTTGCCCCAATAAAATCCACTCTCCCCAGAGCAGCCAGAGTGATAAAATGGAAACCAGGCCATGCTGTTCTCTAGACTTTCCATTGCTCCTGGGATAAAAGCCAGACCCCTCCCTCTGCCTGCAAAGCCACTGCCTTGCCTGCCTCTCCAGCCTCACCCCAAGCCACCATTTCCCTGCTGGCTCTTGTCTGCTGTGGGGCCTTTGTGCTTGCTCCTTCGTCTGTGTGGAACCCCTGCAACACACACACCAATCTCATCAAGGCTGCCTCCTTCTCTACCAAAATGGCGTCTCAAGGAGGCCTTCCCCGAGCAATCCTATCTCTGATTTCTCCAGCCAGAGCCTAGTGGTTTCCTTCATTACACTAATTGCCATCAAATTAACCAGTTTTTGTTTTCTTTCCAGAACATATGCAACGTGAGGGCAGTAGCCTTGTTTCTCTTGTTCTCCTCTGAGTCCCAGTGCCTGGCAGTGTGTCTGGCACATCGTACTCTGTAAATATTAGTTGAATAAAGAGTGTGTTCATGGTCAACACTTTTACTCACTTGATTCAGTAATTGCTTAGGTTTTATTTAAGTAGAGATGTCTTTATATCTTCCTTCTGTTCCCTAATGACTTTGGTGCTTAAATGCATAAGATGTATTTATCATTAAGGTGTATCCTTATATCAACCAGGATGGGGTTTCAGGGAGCAGGGAGGTTCTGTCTGCTTACTGTAAAGAACTTTGAGAATGTTTAAAAGTGGTTTAAATGTCATGGTATGCATATTAAAGACAAGGATGCCATCGTGTCTCGACAGTGGACCAAGGACCAGAATATAAAATGCAGTCAGCATGCAAGTATACGATGTGAGAAAGGAATAAAACAATCCCACTGTCCTGTGGGGGGAAAGTGATTCTGTTTCACTTTATTCCTGAAACACATTCGGATGTTAACTAAGCATTTTTCTCCAGGGTAGCTCTTTGATTCTAAGTGCCAGTCCTAGGTCAAGATACAGGTTATCTGGTGTAGTTTCTTATAAGATTAAACATTTTCAATAGAGTTTGGACCCTTTATTTACCATCGGCCCTAAGGGCTTTGGCCCAAGGGTGGACCCCCACTCTTTGTACTGGAAAAGGTGGATCTGCCTGTTTTTTCCATAGAAGGCTTGAAGGGTACCCCGTCAGAGGAGAAAGTGAAGAGACAGCAACTTCTCCTTAGTTCAGTTGGAGTGTTGAGTAGTGGCTTTCACTTTCCTTTCATGCGCCTGGTGGATGCTCACTGTTTCACTGAAGGGCTTTGTAAGGTCAGGTGATGCAGGAGCCTGAGGGAGGCCTCTGATGATAGACCCCTACGATCGTGCATCAGTGTTCACAGTCTTCTTTGGGCTCCTTCCCACTGGCTCCCACACAACCACTCAACGTCTGTTGGATTCCTTCTGTGCTCAGAGTCCTCGCAAGAGCAGTGAGGTCTAGGGGAGTGGTGGGTTTAGGGACACGTAAAGATGCATGTCCTCAAGGAAGTCCACTGGAGGAGGGAGACAGGCACTGCCCAATTAATGTATGAATCATATTGTGTTACAAGTGCTGTAATAACAAATAAACAGATTCTATCTTTTAGGTGCATGATTTTGAGTGGGGAGAGCTCCTGGGGCGGGGGGCTTACAGTGAGGTAGCCTGGAAAGCCACGGGGGACCTGGGCCAGACTGAGAGGCACGAGGCAGATGGGTCTCATGATTTACTCATTTTGTTATATGAAAATGAGCAGGATGTCAAAAGGCGTACTATTGCCTGCACATGGTGTGCCTCCTACACCAGAAATACCTGGGATGTGAGTTGACTTGACCATGCAAGCTGCTCTGCGTCCTCTCCTCCTCCCCAGCATTCCCTTTGGAAAGTGCCTTCCTGAGGGTGTTAGTAAGAAGCATCATGAAACACTGAATATGGCATATTTTGACAGTTTGTGGCTCTCGGTGACTTGCCAAGTCCCGAGTTTAGTAACCGCCATCACTCCCCTGCGGGCCTCCTTGTCAGAAGTGGGAGGTTGAGTGGTTTGGCCTGTTTATTGAAAACAGGACTTGATTTGTGTACACAGAAGAGACAGGGGCTGTGGAATTGGGGAGAGGGGAGAGGGAAAGAGCAGATGTCTAGTGGGGAGATGAATGTCAGCCAGCAGTTAGGACTTCCCGAGACAGATAATGGAAGCGTGGCTTTTCATGAGCTTTCTTCCCAGAGAGCCTTACAAGAGGTTGGAACTTGGAAGTACCAGCCTCAACAGCAGTAAAAAGGGACAAGGGTGGGAGAAAAGGTTCTATGATGGGGCGGATGATAGCAGGGATTTGCCATTGCATGAGGAGGGGTGGGAATTAGATTGTGAGGATTTCCTACCTGGTGGAGATTGGAATATAGCATCTTCTGGAGATCAATCAGGAGAGTAAAGACCTCTGTCTCTCTAGGTCGGGCTGGCCTGGACTCCTGCCCTTGGCTCCAGCCTCCTGGATTCCAAATGTGTCTTGAGTGAGTCGAGTGGGTGGGCACATCTGGCCCAGAGCATCATCTCAGATGTGGGTTTTCTCTTTGGACTACACGTCTTGGGTTTTCCTTGCATTAGAGTCAGTCCTGAGAGAGCTGGCCCTAGGGCCTCACGTGCTGCCACATGAAATGGGCAGAAATCCTATAGGGGATAAGTAGTCGTGGGAGATAGAGGGCCCCATTGCTACTCTGAAGAGACTGGATAGGAGGTTTTCCTCCTCAGCTTTTCTGCTTTGGTGGTTCCAGTGCCTCTGGATGAAGTCTAGACTCCTGAACATGGCATCAGGGCCCTACGTGGTCTGGCCCCTGCCTTGTCCCAGCCTCACACTGCACTTATCCACTGCACCAGATACCCTGAGTTCGCTCTCCTTGGTGCATGCTAGCTACTCCTTCCATCTGTGCTGCCCCTTGGATTCCCCCCCACCTCCAACTCACCCTCTCCCCCGCCTCTTCCCCTTCCCCTCCCTCCCTTGTTCTTTCTTTCTGTGTCCGTCCCCTCTCCCTTCATCCTCTTTTCTACCCTGTCATCCATTCTCTGTCTGACTTCGCTCATTCTCCAGGTCTCAGCTTAGCTGTCACTCCTGGTGTGTCTTTCCTAAGGTCCCCTCTGGTGCTTTCCCTGGGGAGTGCCTGCCCCTCCGTTTATACCCACCACAGACAGACAAGATGGCTCTTATCCTCTGTTGGAATTGTCTGTCTTCCCTGCAATTCAATTCAGAGCAGGAGTTGCCTGTCTGTTCACCTGCGAGACCTTCAGGGAATATTTGTTAAGGGGATGCTTTATCTTCATTCAGTGCCTCCTGCAGTGTGGAAGTGGAAACCAGTTTTGTAAATGCGGTTGTGAGATGGAATTTCTAGGGCAGATCCCGGCGAAAAAAACTTTGATTTTTTTTTGCTTGCACTTTGATGAACATCCTCAACAATATTCTTTTAAACCTATTTCAGGAAGCTTTATGCAGAACTGTGCCAGGGCATTGTGGACATAGCCATATCTAGTGTCTTTCCGCCGCCAGACACGGAGCAGCAGCCGACCCAGCCAGCTGCATTCATCAAGCTGTGACTGAGGGAGGCGTGCAGAGCTGGAGCCTGCTCCAGGGGAAGGTGAAATGTCCGGATTGCTCGTTATCAAGCCAAAACAGGAGAGAGAGGTAACTCGTAAAGATGTGATGGAAGAGAGAGCATCAGAAGAAAAAGCGGCTTCCCCGAAGAATGGTTGCTCGGAGTTCCCAGGTGGAGCTCTCAACCCTGCTCTTGAGATCTGAAAACTGCAATGATGTGGCCTCCTGAAAAGGAGGGGGGAGCAAATATTCTGTGGGGAAAAAACAGGGATTTGATTACTTTATGTTCTCATCCTTTAAAAAATCTGATATTTATCCTAAGGCAGCGTTGTGAGCAGCGCCTCTCCTCCGAGGATTGCAGACCGTTGGACCTTTGGTTGGTGTCTTTCCACCTGCTGCAGCCTTAGTGCCTTAGCTCTGTGCCCAGCTGCAACCCTTCTGTCTGGACAAGGATTGGACGTGAGAGCATTTGGGAGGTTGCCGATGTGTTCCCTGCTCGTCCCCCTCCATGACGCTCTGCCCCACGAAAATCTGGACAGCGTGCACCAACAGTCCTTGGTTTTGTGCCGTGCACCACCTCGCAGCAAACGGGATTTTCCTCATCACGTTCCCGATGGCATTGGGTCAAGCACCTGTCAGGGTTGCTGTGGGCTGGACACCTAAACAGCAAACGCTGCTCTCAGTCTGCTCTCTGCATGTTTCAGACACCAAGCAGCAGGTCTGCTGCAAACCCGTAAGCATCAAATAAGCATGAGAGAGAAAAAACACGATGTCTTGCTTTACTTAATAGTTGGGTGTGATGGGTCTTTGAAATATGATGATTCTCAGTTATCTTTGTTTTAACCAGAATTCTATGTGCACTTTTGCAAAGTTCCCTTTTCTTCACTTTTTGTTTTTGTTTCTGTTTTAACTTTTGTAAAAACCCCTCTAGGGGTCAGGAGAAGGCAGAATTCCACTGCCCCCCACCCAGGTGGCACTGCCCCAGACACAGGGAGCTTTCCCCCAGTTTGTTCTCCTTGCTCTCCAAGCACCTTCTGCAGGAGCTGGAAGGGCAGGTTTTGTTCCAGGGAGGATTCTATCTGCTTGTGCCTCTCGACATCAGGGAGAGGCTCTGAATGTGTATGTCTCGCGTGAATGGGAGAGTCTCCTAAAACGGGAAGGAGGTGGTTTCAGAGCACCACACAGCATCTTGTAAGTCAACAAATGTGCCCCGTTAGGTGTAGTTTCCACTTACTGGATTGACGAATATTCTATAGACTTTTCAGGAGGCCACATTACTAGCAGTGGGAAGAATAAGATGCCATTTGTGTTCAGTGTGAGCTGAGTGAACAGGCCCAGAGTATACTGGGAACAACAGCCAAACCACTGAAAAGGCACCCTCCTCCCCAGAACGTACTGTGTTCTTCCTTCGTGCATATGTGTGCTCCATTATTCATTTCTACTTGGCACAAGTAAACAGTTCTGCAGTCAGGGGATACTTCTTCAAAAAGAGAAGAAAAAGCAACACCTCCTCAAACATGATGAGATGTGGGAGCTTACAGGGAAAAAAAGGAATAGTGATGAAAATTATTTAATAGATGCAGCAATGGGTGTAGGATGTGAAAGTATTATGTTAGGGTGAAGTGGAGAAAGTCCAACTGGGTTGGCTCTCATGAGAATTTGGAATTAAAAATAAAAGTCTTGGTGGTTACACAGAATACAGAAAACGAAGTTTGCGTCCAGAGCAAAATAAAACAGTCAGGGGTAAAAGTCGTTCCTGGAGGCCCCACACAGCTGATGGGTTAGTGTTTGGGGACTTCTGAGCAGATCATGGGAAGATGCACACCCATCTAGAAAGTGTAGGGCACTGGGTCCTTGGAAAGTCTGGTGATGGGGAAAGCATGGAGGTTTTGTAGTATTATCACATGCGAACGCAGACTTGTTTTTTTTTTTTGTTTTTTGTTTTTTATTTATTTATTCCCCCCAAAGCCACCGTAGATACTTGTATGTCATAGCCGCACATCCTTCTAGTTGCTGTATGTGGGATGCGGCCTCGGCATGGCCGGAGAAGCGGTGTGTCGGTGCGCAGCCGGGATCTGAACCCGGGCTGCCAGCAGCGGAACGCGCGCACTTAACCGCTAAGCCACGGGGCCGGCCCTGCGAACGCAGACTTGTAATGATCTTTTGGACCTAAATTACAGGGACATTGGAGAGTTTTTCAGCTCTCAGTGACAGAGCTAAGAATTCAGATGTTAGGAAGATTGTGGATCTTGATGGATTTCCTAAGAATCCTGAATTAATAGTATAAATATGAGGGAAGTAAGGCTTTAAAAAAAAAGTTATGCTTCATTCCTCACATGGTTTAAATAAGTATTTTATGCATTTATTTCTGATCAGGTGGGATGGTTGGCTCAGAACTGTTCCGTACCCTTCCATGAAACTCTTGGCACAGAAGGTCATGCCTCGCTCTGCAGTCAGTCTTCATACGTGTAGTCTTTGTCTGTGTCACCGGTGGCTGGGGAGGAGGTGTTACTCATTCGTAGATGCTGATTCCAACCGTGGCTCTGTCGTGTGGCTGCACGGTGTCAGATGGGCCTGTTCAGCTGTCTGTGCCTTAGTTTCTTACCTCAAGGAAGAGGTCGTTGCCTGACCCAGAGACTACCTCAAGGGCTTTTAGTGAGGACACATGACATTAGGAAGACTCAAGAACCTTTAGTACCAAGGTTCTCAAAGATAACTATGTGCTGGAATCACTTGGGAAGCTTTTTAAAAATGTTGGTGTCCACACCTTCCCCCTCTCCCCTACCCCTGACAATTAAATCAGGACCTTAGGCATCAGTGTGCTTTGAGATGCCTTGAACCATTGCTTGAGAAGGAAGGACAAACACATTATTACCTTGGAAGAATCAGATGAGGCCCAGGGCTTTAAAAAAAATTCCTTTTGGAAGAACAGGCATTTAAGAATGACCAGGTGTTGACATATGTGTTCATGATACAAGCATGTGCTGCTGCAGCAGTTTCTCTCTTTGCTTCTCATCACAGCATTTGGAAACTCAAAATGCCTTCATCTACGCAAACAGTTTATGAAGCCTTGACCACAAATGTAAACAGCCATGAATTTATAAATCTGCTAAATATGCGTTAAGGTTATTTATTAATTATTGAGAGCAAAGCTCCTTCCCTCACACTTAACTCCTGTGGTAATTATAAACTCCAATTTATCCAGAACATTTAAGTGCCTCAGTGTATGGCCCAGTGGAGCGGGTGCTGGCATACTTACCAGCTGACGTGATGTTTCTCTAGGCCTCGGGATGATTGTCACCGACTCAAAGTATCTGGTAGTGCTGGAAACGTATGAGATCCTCAGAACCCGCAGACGGCAGTGAAGCTACCAAGTGTGTTTTCATGGACAGTTGAGGCTGTGTCAGGCAAGGGTGGATCCAGCCCTGTTGTGGGTGTGGTGGGGGGACTCTACGAGAGAAGACAAGTGCCAGAGTGGTCCCCTGCATCATGTGGGTGCTGTAGAGAAAATTCAGTGATACACTGGTCTCTGATCCTGGGCACAGAATCTGTACCTAAGAGGAAATGAATTCTGAAATAAGGCAATTTTATGAATGTTTTAAAATGCCTGGAGCATTAAAGTAAAGGAATGATATTTCACATGTTTTTGTCCCATTTGGTTCTATCATATTATGGGTGTTGACTGTCCGAGGATATCTCTGGTTATTTGAATCCATGATTCTATTAGCCAGAGGTAGGCAGACTTTTTCTGTAAAGGGCCAGATAGTAAATATTCTAGGCTTCATAAGCCATACCGGGTCTCTGTTGCATAGTCTTCCTTATCTTTTCCCCAACTCTTACAAAATATAAAAAACATTCTTAGCTCATAGGCCTGCCAAAAACAGGCCAGATATGGCTGTCATTTGCTGACCCCAGCATGTTACTCAATACATAAGCCAACAGATTGTTCTTCAAAACTGTGATGAGCCTCTCCGGGGTGAAGCATTGAAACAATTTCAGCTGCCAACATTCAGTCCATCATTTCCTACATGTTTTGTGCATTGTCTGAATCATGATGTAAATTGTGAGGTGAGACCCATGGTTGTGAAGGAGTTATGTGTGCTTCAAACACGGAATGGAGGTGGAGGGGCTTCTGAAAGGAGGATACTTCCACAATTAGCCAGAAGGCCAAGAAATCCTTACTAAGACTTCACTAAGGCCAGGTAGATAAACACCTGTAAATCTCACATACCTCAAGCACATAGAAAGGGCTTCATTTATGTAAACTCTAATTAACTTGTGACTTCTTGTGTGATGAGGCTGTATGCTTTGCACTCCTTTCCCATGTATGGCTGGCCTGCTTTCCATAGCTCCTTCGGCTCCATAAACATACTCCTGGCAGAGAGAAGGGGCCTTCCACACGAGAAACGCTGTCTTAAGCACCCCACTCCAAACAAGTTTCTGATGTGACATGACGACATGCCCAGCAGACTCAGTGGAGATTGCACGGGCAAGGTACAGGGATAAGCAGACATGGACCCAGGCAGGCAGCTACTTAGGATCCTGAGAATGGACAGGTTCAAAGCCTTTGGAGGACTTCTCCAGAGGCTGTTCCATTTGCTGTCAGTAGCTGCTGCTTCTCTTTCAAGAACTAGAAGTTCTCTCGTGGCCCCAGAGGTCCTATAATACTTTAAAGAGGATTTCCCCAAAGCATCCCTAAAGGCAAAGGCAAATGAGCCCCTGTCCCATAGGATACTTGGTGGCACAACCTGAAGATTGGTGCAAGCAGAATTCCTTTTCAAAATACACATGACAGAACATCAGTGGGCATAGCAGAGTAAGAATCTCTAAACATCTTCTCTTCCGTAAAAACAATGAGAACACTAGCAAAAACTGGCTGGAAATTAACCAAACGCTTGCAACAATCCAGGAAACACTAAAGAAAAATGGTTGCGTCTCAGTAAGAACAGCGAGCTTTGTGATGTTTTAATCGGCCCTATTGTCACCCTGCTTTCCTTAACTCCACAGTTTCCTTGAAAAACAACAGCCCCACAATCAATGGTGAAATCTAGCAGCCTAGTAGCCATTGGAGGGTACAGAATGGAGTTGGAGCTCCTCTGAAGTCCATTCCCAGTGAATTGTCATTATTTGACCTGCCTGGCAGTTCCATGTGAGTCCGCATCTTAGGTCTTGTCTTTATTTGATGTGTCTTGAGAGTATCCCCAGTGTGAACAGACTTTTCCCTGGGCGCATTTGTCAGAAATAATCAGCAGCAATTGTTTAACATCTCGGCTTCCTGAGGTGGTTATAACATTTGGAACAAACAAGAAGAAGACTAAAAAACTTAGAAGGAAAAGCTGGGGAATGAGATATCCATAGGAGGGTTTGAAAAGCTTCAACATGTTCCTATGAATATAGAAGGCCACACACATGCATAGGACTGTGTACACACCCGGGGTAGACCTGAATTCCCTCACCTTTTACCTCGTCTGACCAGGAGGATCTGCACAAGCAGGAAGTGAAGATAAGGCAGAGCTGCAGACTCCCTTCCTGATTATGAAGGCATGCCCAACAGACACACACAGTCTCTTGGCAAAGACTGGGAGACTTACTGGTTCCAGGCATTAAAGGAAATTTCTGTTCAATCGTTAGTTGACCATTAAGCTCACTGAGCAGAGACTTCAGTGGCTACACACAACAAAGAATACAGGCTTTATAGAATTAGTTCAGGAAGGTCACTAAATAAATAGCTACACCAATAAACCCTAGAGAGGGGAGAGTATCTGGTTTCCAAAGTTGCTCCACTATATTATTAAAAATTTCCAATTTTCAACACAAATTATGGGACATGCAAAGAAAAAAGAAAGTATGGCCCATAGCGGGAAAAGACAGTCAATAGAAACTGTCCCTGAGGAAGCCTAGGTATTGGACTTACTACACAAAGACTTTAATTCAGATATTTAAAGTATCTTTAAAGAACTAAAAGAGACTATGAGAATGATGTGTCACCAGGGAGAGAATATCATTAAAGAGATAGAAATTGTTTTTTACATAGAACCAAGTAGGAATTTTGGCATTGAAAAGTACAATAATGCAAACGAAAAATCCATTAGAGGTGTTCAAAAGCAGGTTTGAGTTGGCAAAAGAAGGAATTGGTGAATCTGAAGTCAATTGAGATTATCCAGTCTGAGGAACAGAAAGAAAAAAGAATGAATAAAAATGAACAGTGCCCCAGAGATCTGTCCAGAGACATATATGTATACCAACATACATGTAACAGGAGTCCTAGAAGAGAGGAGAGAGAAAGGGACAGAAAACATATTGGAAGCAAGAGTAGCCAAAAACTTTCCCCCTTTGATGAAAAATACTAAAATGCATCCAAGAAGTTCAGCAAACTCTAAGTATGATAGACTCAAGGAGAGCCACACTAAGACACATCAACCACTAAGAAAATGACTTTAAATATATAAGATGAGGGAACTAAAATGTTACACTAGAAAATATCTGTTTAACAAAAGAGAAGGCAGTGATGAAGGAACAGAGGAGTGGGGGAGATATAAAGCATATAGAAAACAAACAGCA